TTAATTCACTTAGTAGTCTGTTTTATTAATAAGATTAAAAATTAAATTTAATACTCATCTTGTATAAGACACTTTTGCAGGATACAAATTTTATAGTTTATTTTAAAAACGTACAAATAATAAATAGATAAATTCAGAATAAATTATGTATGTCTTGAAATTTGATATAAAAGTAAAAAATGAAATACTTAATAGTATCAAATTAATAACAAGTATACAAATAAATTAACTTAAAGATTTTTTTTATGTTATTTAAAAGTTAATTTTTTAAATATAATTGTAATTGAATAAACATTTTTGTAATCTTAAATCATTTTTTTTTAAATTCTTTTAAAATTGTAATCTGATTAGTAATAAAGTTTGTAAATGTATTTCTACCTATACTATGACATCTGCTTAATATTAATTCTTATTATTCTTGTTTTTTAATATACCGTAATTTTACTAGTAAAATCATTTTAAAAATAAGTTTTGGTATCCCAGTGATATTTGAGTAAAACTTTTAACTCCTTCATAATTTGAAAACAAAAATTGAAGGTTTGATGAATATATTAAATATTTTAAAATGTTTATAATTTCTTAATATTTTGGTATGTTAGCTTCAAAAAAAAAAAAAGGCTAATCATCTTCTTTTTATAATTAAAGTTGTATGAATATAGTTTTCTTGTGTAACAAATATACAGAGTGATTCAAAATTTTTGTTTCTAATTACAAATTATTAAAACTTAGTTAACATTTGACCTTAGTTAATTAATTGTACAACAATAGAAAGTTTGTCAAATTAATTTTTTAGATGATTTTTCACTAAAAATGTAGGTTCAACACCAGAGAGAGAAAAGCTATGCTATTTTAGATCATTTTGGATATGTTATTGTCAATAAATTTATCTAATAATTGATTATAATGATTAAAATGTAAAAAAAAATTTCATGACACAAGCAACATTTCCAATGTGCATACCTAAAATTGCTCTAAAAAAAATATCCAATAATTTTCTTTTTTGAAAAATTATTTATTCTTATAATAAAGAATTTAGTCTTATAAAACAAAAAAAAGTTCTTATGTATATTAAAAATAAATTTGTTAGTATTAAAGGATTTTATTTTTAGTGTGTTATTATTTTTGAATCTATAAAATAATGATGTTATCGCTATAGAAAGTGTTTTGTATCTTTTATTTTTATCAATTAAATTTGGGTTTTATGTATTTACATTGATTTCACCTTACTCATTGAACTAATACTCCAGTTACTAAATGCATTAATTTCTATAAAATCTTTTAAAATCAACTTGAACATTTGTAGTTGACTCACTGTCTAAAACAAAATACTCAAAAATGCTTGCTATTGAGAAACAGCCATTCTGTCATAAACTTATTTTTATAAATTAATAATTATAATCAATCACCAGATACATTTAATAGTAACGGAAATAAATTTTACAAACTTATCTTTCTAATGATGTATAGGTAATGANACTTATCTTTCTAATGATGTATAGGTAATGAATGTAAATCAAACGGTCACTGAGTTATAATAATTTGTGTTCAAATGGACACTTTTTATTAACTCTGTATTAATAAAAAAGTAAATTAATTTATATTTAGCTAGGTATTATGAGTCACATTTTTCTTGACAGTGAGAATACTATTTTTAGAACACTCGTTGAATAATTATTTTAAAAATAGTGTTAATTTTCAAAAATAAAAGTGAAAGTTTACTTCTGGCGTATAAAATTTAAATAGCAGAAAATAAACAAACTTCCAGAATTCTATTTAAAAAATTTTATCTTTATCACATTGGTAGTTTTTAGACTTTAATTTAAATACATTTATAATTATAAAATATTTTAGGTTATGGGGACACAATTGTTGCATCTAATCCATTTGATGATACTCCACCTCCAATCATGAATACCAATCCAATAAATCGGCAAATGATGAATTCTCGTCCAATGATGTCTGGAAGTCCTTGTCAAATGGGTAGTTCACCTATGAATTGTGGACCTCCAATGGGTAGTCCAATGGGAGGTCCATGTGGTAACAGTCCACACAGAAATTCTATGGTATGTGGTCCTCCAATGATGAACTGTGGTGCTCCTGGTAACAGTCCACATACAATGTCTATGAATCGAAGTCCATCTGCTATGGGTAGTCCACACATGGTTTCAAATATGCGTGGGAATAGTCCAATGGAATGTGCTGCTATGGTGAAGCCATCACTAAATTGTGCTTCTCCTATGGGTAGTCCTATTCCACCTAATTCTAGTATGAATATTCACCCTCCAATGTCAAGTCCTATGACTATGGGACCATCACCACTTAATGGACATCCAAACTCTGGACCAGGTGGTAGCCCTATGATGATGGGTAGAGGAGGACCTTCACCTCTAACTAATAGTCCTATGTCTATGAATATGCCAGTTAGTTCAGCTGACATGAATGATATGAATCAACACATGTCTATGGATAATGGAGGTTGTTCAATTAGGGGACCACCATGTCCTGGATCTAACAATATGCCATCAGTTTCTATGTCGTGTAGGCCACCTATGTCTAATCAGCAGTGCAATAGTATGCCTGGACCTAGTAATATGATGAATTGTCCAAGGGGAATGCCTTGCTCACAAATGATGAGGGGGCCACCACAATCTTCTGATCAACATAGACTTATGCCTCCTATGATGCACCATTCTCAAATACCTAATAGTCAACCAGGAGGTTATGGACCTGGGCCTAATTCTAAACCAATACCAGTGTCAGCTGGAAAGGTAAATCTATCTGAGTACTCGAGAGTGATTATAGTATTTTACGTGTATTGTAAAATGTTAATAATACAATTTAACTTCTAAATAAGTTTTCAATGTTACTAAAATAAAAGTAATTAAAATTAAAAATTTGTTATTATTGTTAGTACTATTTTTAATTTTGTATATTTTCTTAATGGATACTTTTGTGAAAATTTTATAATTTAATATTTCATTTTATTTTAGGAAAAGTTTGAATTTTCTAAATCCTAATAGAAAGGAAATATTTCTATAGTAGATTAAAGCTTATTTTCAATTTCGTTGTTTTAAAACTAAAATTCATTTTTTTCAACTGTTAGGTTGGTTAATGCTAGTCAATTTTCATGATTGGACTAGTGTGTCCCATAGAATAAAATAGATGATTATCTTCAAATGTCTTTTGTACTATTGGGGACATAGTGTTTACTGCCATTGATATTGACATGTATATCCTATTTGACAATTAACAGTGTAAATTAATGCTTTACTTTAGAGCATTTGGAGTGTCCACTATGCCTCTATACCCCTAGTACATGGTTGGGAAACCATTGTCAAAAATAACAAATTTTGATCTGACCATCTTTACACAAATACTTACCAATTAATAACAATCTAAATATGAATTCTTTAAAACGTAAATTATTTTTTGTTATATTAATTTAATTATGGGATATAATTTTTATTTTAATAACTCTTATTTCTTCTGTATTAGTATTGAAAAATTAAGATTCTATTTCCTCCCAATCATTTAATTTAATTATTATTCTATAGTTTTATTTAAATTTGAAAAGAAAATATATAAAAAATTTTTTTTTTTTTTAGATTTATCCGCATGATCAACCTATGGTGTTTAATCCACAAAACCCTAATGCACCACCTATATATCCTTGTGGTAATTGTCATAAAGAAGTTCATGATAATGATCAAGCTGTTCTTTGTGAATCAGGCTGTAATTTTTGGTTCCATAGGTATGGATATTTTTAATAATTTTTTTTTTCAACCTAAATCACAAATATTGTTCTAAATGATAAATTGTGTGGTTGAGCAAAATTTTTTTTTTAAATTTCAAGAGTTTTAGCAATTTATTTATATCATTAATGGTGGATAGAATAACATTATACAGTATAATACAATTACAGTATAGTTTTTTTATTATTATTATTTTAGTCTAAAAAAAAAAAAAAATTATTTCAATCTTTTGTGATTTTTGTTAATATATATAAAATATTTTTAGTTAAATCTAATTAGATATGTATAAAATATATTATTATAGTGATGTGTGTGTATATATCAAAAATATAATTATTTGATGTAATAGTAATTAATAGTTTTCATTAGTAGATTATCTTAATTTTAAATATTTTTAATGGATAATATTAATAGTTTTATTTTTCAAATTTTTAGAGTTTGTACTGGATTAATGGAACCAGCATTTCAATTATTAACAGCTGAAGTGTATGCTGAGTGGGTGTGTGATAAATGTTTGCAAACTAAAAACATACCTTTGGTTAAGTACAAACCCTAATATATATCTTTAAAAACCGCGCTCAGAATACAATTGCAAAACTTTTCTCCATGCACTGAGTTTCAGCAGATTCAGTAATTTAGCTGGTGATAATGTACTTAATCTCGGGCACAAGCATCAATGCTTATACTTACAATGTATGAATTTTATAAAATCAAAAACATAACTTTTTTCTTTTGATATTATGTCAGTTTTATTTCTATTTTAAATATATATTATTTATATATGTGTATATATATATATACATAAATATATACAAGTAATTTTTTTTTTAATTGTGAAACAATTAAGGCTCACTTTATAATATGTGTCAATAACTGTTACTGGTACTTCTCAGTATTAGAATTATTTGCATACACAATATTGCCACTTGCTTTTAATTGGCATTTAAAATTTATGTTCCTTCAATAAAAATTTGGGCCTAAACAATTTTCATTCTTGTAACCAATTGCCTTATTATCACTTATCTTCTCTATTTTATTTTTATATTTTTTCCTAATGAAAAGTTTTTCAAAAAAAAAAAAAGAACTATTTATGATTTATATTATTATTGTATGTACAAGTATAAATTATAAACTGCATTTTTTTGTTTTTAGAAAGTAATATTACAACAAACCTATTGTATATATTTAGTACAATTAAAACAATCCCAGACAAACTTAAGAATGTATATTCTAAGTGTTACATGTAACTAATAAAGTGAAATTAAATTTAATATATTGTATTATTTACATTTGATAAATCACAGCCAATTTTATTTACTTATGTTTAGTTGAAATACAATAAATACTTCTTTTACAATCAATTTGAAATTGTGCATAAGGCATCCAAGTAAAATGTGCATAATATTCAATTTATAAATTAAATAAATTATACTTAAATTTACAATTTATGGAAATTATGACATGATACGTTTGCTTAAATTATTATAAAGCTAAAACTTCTTTAATAAATTTATCTTAGCTATTTTTTAAACATGATGTCTATTAAAGATCTCATTTATTTAAGGAGACTAATAATAGNTTTTAAATATGATGTCTATTAAAGATCTCATTTATTTAAGGAGACTAATAATAACATTAACATTTTTTGTAAATAAAAATTATTTAACTTTTGACAGCAACAAATAACTACAATAATTTTGAATTTAATAAGAAGTATTATTGCTCAAATAAAATAAATCAAATTTTTTTTTTAAATGAATAATTGATAATTGAACACCGAATAAGTATTATCATTATTATAAACTGAACCTAAAGCTTATAACAAAGCACATTTTTAATCCAGTTTAATCATTATACCAATCTAAAAATAAAAGTGTGAATGATAATACTAAAATAAAAAATAATACGTAAACTCTTAAACCAGCGTTAGTTTGTATAGCTGATCGTATTTCGGTATTGGCATCAACAATATTTTCAGTTGTATTTACAGCTACTGCATCAATCCTTTCAAGATCTAGTTCTTGTTCTATAATTTTTTCCATAAATAACTCTTGAAGTTCAGCGATTCTAACAGCTTTAGATTCTATGTTCCTAACCTAAAAATGTCAAAATATTTTTATTTTTTAAAAATATTCTAGTCAATCAAAAATATAGCAAAAACAAATTTATAAAATACTACCTCATTAGACAGTTGATTAAGCTCATTATACATTTCTATGTTTTCTGCCTCAAACATTTGTAGCTCTTCAGGTGATAACTCTTCTTCAATATGATTAGCATAATGTAAACGGTCTACAGCATCATTTTCAACAGCCAAAGAATTTTTGGTTTCTTTCAGTCGTTCAGATCCATTAGCCAAATTACTTAATTTTAAAACATTATCATATTCTAAACATCTTTGAGCTCTTGATGTTTTCATGTCTGCAAATAATTTGGATACAGACTTAAGCCGCCACTCAACATATCGTACTATCTGTATCCTATGATCATTTATTTGACTATAACTATCATCTAAATCTTTTTCTAAAGCATTTATTTGTTGTCTACATGTTTTAATAATATGTTGTGCTCCAACATCAATTTTGTCACGATCGGGGTCCGTTAACAATGTCTGCTGATCAAAAGAAGAGACATTTATATACTCTCTAAAATGGCGGTCCAAAAAGTCTTTCAATTTAGCTAAATCATTGACAATATCCTTAGCTCTACGTGAAAAGTCATCTCGACGTGGCTTACGTTGTTTTAAGATATCCGTTTGAGGTACTGGTGATCCAAAAGCTCTATTTCTAGTTTTTATAGTTTTTACATAAGCTTTAAAAACAGCTGTTTTGTCCATAATGTTCAAAAGACTAGATTTTTTGTATAAATATTTTAATTAGAAATTTTGAAAACTACGAAATGTTTAAAAAAACTTAATGTCGAACGTCGGTGGTTATCTTTTATCACTAATTTGTTATTATTGTGTTATCATTTATCTACCACGTCGTATCAAATTGATAATTTAAATTACTGATAAAAAAATTATCATAAAAATATTTATCATATTTTTGATTATTAATTTTTATCAAAATGAATGTCGGAATTTCGTAATATTTTTTTAACTTTTTTCGAATGGAATTTTTCAATTTTATATTTTTTTTCAAAATCAAAGCCATACCAACTGTTCGGCCATATTTATCTAAAATACACAAAAACAATTATGCCTCTAGACGTTTTCAATGGATGGCTTACAACGACGGAAAAAACTTTTTTTTTTCCTTATTTTATTATTTTGTAAAGTAACCATAAAATGTTGCCCTAGTTCTTTAGCAACTTATACAACTGATGAGCGAGGGCTCGACTCAGTATCTAGATTTTCTGTATATACCTAATAAGAACTCATTCTATATTGAAATTCCAACTGAAGATCAACATAAACGTACTGTATCATTTTAAAAGAAGACATTAATAACGTATCTGTAAAGATGTACACAATAAAATAATTTAAACTATCATTTATAATTATTCTATTATCATGTCTAACTATCGACTAATTATTTGATTAATAAATTACTTGTATAAAGTATCTAAAATGATTTATTAATGATTGAATAATAAATTGCATACATTTTTATTTGTTTTACATCATTAAGCTCTTATAATTTTATAACATTGATACAGATTATTCAAATAATTTTATATTATACATTAAGCATTGTTTGAAAAATAATTCGAATAACTCAAACTATTGATTTGAATAAACTAAAAATACTCTCTAAGGATTGTCATTATTCAATAATGCCCATCACTACGCAACAGTGATCCAAATTATTAAATTCTTCCTCACTCTTTGATAATGATTAGGCAAAGTGTGTAAAATCATCTTTTCAAATGATTTCAGAATAAAAATTGCAATGGCTTATTTTAAATATTTATTTTAATTTCGTGAACAATTTCTTATTATTATATTACACATTGTGTTATTTTCAAAATCTTTCTAAATGATGTCGATAAAAAATGTTAGAACTTTGTTTTTTTCTTAGACCAAAAGTTATCAGTAAAATAAAATAAAATTTAATGAACTTCATTATTTATCGGTAAATCAATAGAAATTTCAAAAATAACGTTATTAATCAGCGCAGTGAAATAGCTCGTAAACACTGTACGAAAATAAAAATGTACCCAAGTGAAAAAACAGGATGTAACTTTATGTAGTCACTGTTGCGTGCACATGTGAACATATGGTGCTCAACGTCGTTCTAATTGTCGATTTTCAACGGTTTTTTCATGCGCTGCATATAATACGTATACCACATTAAGTTCGAACCCGAATACGTGAATTGACTAACTCAAACGCCTTAAAATAATAATCGAACATTTTAAATGTGACATTTGTCGTTACGAGATATGCCATCGAGTGTACAAAAATTACTTATTATCTTTTGTATACTAGATAGCGTTTCGTGTATGATGATGTGTTNTACTAGATGGCGTTTCGTGTATGAAGATGTGTTAAAATTAGGATGGCGTTTCATGATCACATGATTAAGTTATCAACACAACGACCAGTGCAAATAAGAGTATTAATTGTTTTTCTTAAAACGTTAGTAGACAAAACACTAGTTTGTGATGGACTGTGCATTGAACACTATACACACAAAATACAAGTAATTAAATACTCCTTTCAACGAGGACTTGTAAGAGCAGCAGCCGGGCGTAGGTACATCGTACTTGCTGAGAGATATTGAGTTACTCGAGTTGTTCATTTTCAATGAAAATGTATCAATTTCATGACCGAGTTTTTTCCTCTGGTGTTTCATCAGGGACCACACAGTTCTAGAAAACTTATCACGCACGTGATTACTTTCTGATGTTTCACGTGTAACAAATAAATGAATGTCACACTAATGTTCAGAAATTGTACACGCGATGCTTTCGAATACAAATAGAATGGCGAATATCTCGTTTAAAGGAGTAATTGCCAATGAAATATTTTCTTGTGAATGAATATTGAAAAGTCAACCAAAAAGTCAAGTTTTCTTGTTTCAAGGACAAATCACTTGAAAAATATTTATTATTTAATATTTTAATTTACTCGTAGTTAAATTAACAGTATAAAATTCTATCAAATTATTAAGGTAGAGCCGACCCCAAATAGTCGAGATAGAGGCTAAGGAGATGGCGATGATAACTCAAAGTTGAATTACCTCTACAGAAATAAAACCCAAAGCTTTTTGTATACATCTGCGTTGTTGAACTTTTAAACTATATTTTCTTAAAAAAAAAAGAATATATAGACAATAAAAGTACGAATAGAAAATATTATGGTTGTACATAATGATTAGATGATATGATAACATTCAAGAAATTTTTTTCTTAAGTTAAATTTATAATGAAAACTTAAATTATTTTATTCTTCGCCGGATGTGTGTCAACAAAAGGATAAAGTACTTGTGTATGATTTTATTTTGCAAAATGAACTGCTACTTAGAACTTTTTAATTATGTATTTTAATGGAAGCTTATCTAAAAACAAATAAATAAATTTGAGATCAAAATAATCATACGATGAAAATGTATACTGGGCCAAACAGAGAGGACCTGGAGATTAAAAACAAATAACAATGGATAAGATAAAATTGTCGTTTGTATTTTTTTTCTTTTGACCTTCTTTCAAACGTCTTTTCCAAAAGAATTTTATGTTCTAAAATGGCCGACTGAAATATTCTATCAAATATAGTGAATGGATAGAACTCCCTCGAGATAGCTCTGGTTAAAAAGTTGAACGAAAGATATAACAATAATGAA